GTTTTCCTGATCATCTTTGGTACCTTTTTATACAATTCTCTGTCTGTCTATGTAATTTTTATTTTTTAACAATCCTACATATTTAATCGGCTTATTTTTTGACAAATTCTGTGTTATCTTCTCCCTGAGAAGAAGGCTTGGCCATTGTTCTATTACTTCGTTGGTTGTTTTTACTGCCTACTTCTCAAATGCTGAGTTTAGCAGAGAGTGAATCCTCTATGAATATAGCTTGTGTTCAGGTCTTTAAAGTTTAGATCTTAAATAATAATACAAACTTTAAAAATAGCAATTTTCGGTTAGTTTTCTTCACATATATTAATAAAATATTTTGAGTTGTGACCCCTAGCAGGAATACACTACATCATTGTTAAATATTTTATGCACAAGCAGTGCTGTTGCTCATGGTCCTTTGAGGTGTTCACATTTTGCCTTTGACTTTCACAAAAAAAATATTCATAATTTCAGAAGGAGTGATTTTGATTTGATTGTGTCACTACTTCAAAAAAGACTTAGGCATAAGCATAGGGTGTCTTCTGCAACCAGTAAGCAATCAGTGTGTTATCAGTATTCCAAAAGAATTTCCATTTCATGTGATTCAAACCGTACTGAGGAGCTCCTGCACCTATCACACAAGAGAACATCTTGACCAAACTTGGGAGGGCACCAAAACAAGAGCCCCTTGATTCACATGAAAGAGGTGGACTAGATCCACTTTCAAGTAAACCACGGGCAGCTTTGTTTGATGTTGGAGGTCAAATACTGTAGTCCAAAAAAGAGGAAGGTAGCCAGTAAATCTGGTACTTAGAAGCTGACTGGTTAGATTTTCTTGATATGTTTTTATACTGCCTCTGCATCGAGCTAAAGTATTATCTGTGATCCTTCTTGAATGTATGCGTGCATCATAAATATGACTGTTAAACAATGCGAAAAACTCTCATTGATTTGTAGAGTGATATATAATCAAATGCAATAATATAGAATTAATTATTATCAAGTACAACTAATTTGGTTGAAAAGTGTGACTCAAAAAGTGTAACATCCAACTTTGTATTACTTATACACTTCATATTAGGAATTCATGTTTGGAATTTAAATTAAACCCTTACTGCAGAATCCAATCCAATTAGCCGTTGGAGCCAGTCACTTCCTTCAAAAAAACTGTAAATTAATTCATTAAATGTCTTAAATTAATACAGATTGTTGCATTAATCACTTTTTCATTAAACACTAACTTTGGTTTGGATTTAGTTGCAAGCACAGCATGTGTTTATGGGAACCTTTAGTAAATGGTTTTTGTATTTGAAAAAATACAGCGCCTTTTTGGCATTCAAGTGCTGTTCCCAATTCATGTGTGTCAAATTACCATCTGTAAGTAAATGGGGAAGAATTGCGCTGACAGACGGCGTAGCAGTGAATGGGACTCATTTATTGCTACACAGGCGTACAGTACATTATGCAAATCAAAAACTATGAAGGAGGTGAAATCAGGGGAGAGACAAAAACATTGACAGATGAGAAGAATGATTCTCAGCGACATCAATATGCCACTAAATCACATTACAGAGGGATTGGAATATAAGCATACATATGCGCTTGGGTCTTTAGCTGCCACTGCTCTCTCTTCTTCTTTTTATCCTCTGTTTCATCCTGCACCCCTATTCAGTTTCCCTAGCCTGACTTGGCCTCTCTCTGCTCCTTTCCTCAATCCTTCTCCAGCCTTGTGCCTCTCTTGCTTTTCTTGCTGCCATGCAATCACACAGCTCTTTCCAGAAGATTTGACACTCCGAGGTTATTGTGTGCGAAAGATGATTTTCATCTCCGCTCACTCTGCCGAGCTCTCATGCAAACTACCATTCCCCCACGGTGATGCTGCCAAACTTACCGGCACTAACAGCTTATGACACACTATCGCATGAGTTTTAAGAGACGAAGATTTGTTTTTTTTGCTTTTCAGAAATAGGCGACTTGCTCTAGATTAGCCATGCAAAATGATATTATAATTAGGCGGAACTTTGATCTGACAAAGACCCGCAAACTGCTCTTTGAAATCACTTTGTCGCTTCGGGTTAAACTGTTGTTTTGCAGAAGTGCATGGTGTAAAGAAAAAGGTGTTTGACTCAGAGGTTAGAGTCGCTGTGTTGAATAAAGCTTGCGAACATGGGCCAAATGGAGCTTGTCTCTTAGGACTGCCTGGCCTCTACCTCTTTTCTGTCGACACGCATCAACTCACACCTCGCCAAGAGCAAAGACTCAACCCTGAGTGATCCCTCTCACTTTTCTTCTCTATTTTCTCTCTGCATCTCTGAGACATTCTGTCCTTCTGTGTCACTGTGTGTCATTAACTCTGACTGTCTCTTTCTGTATCATTTGCCATTTGGCCATCTCAGTTGGAACCAAAGTTGATTTGTGAGCTGGTTTTGAAGTGATCATTTATTCCACTGATACAAATGCATTTATAGATGCCTTTTTAAGGTTCCAGGAAATTATACTTTTTTTGCAGAAGAAAAACCAAACACATTATTATTCCAAGCAGACTATTTGTATATATATCGTAATACGTGTCTGGAGGAAATCTTTAAGCAAGCAAAGGGATGGGGCTGTTTACTTTAAGTTATAATGTTAACTACATGACTGTTAAAACCACAACAACCTCTCTCAGTCTCTGTTCTCTTGCCAAGGTGTATCTATTTTAAAACCAATCTGCCAACGCCTCACTTATGGTCCCAGTCATGGCTTAATTTTCTTCCATCAGTCTGTCTTATTGTCTGTCTCTAAAGTCTCAGAAATAACTCTGGGAGAGATAATCACATGCAGGATTTAAACCATGTTATCCTGCAACTAAATAAGTCAAGCGCATATTCAAATGAAAATGCCAAACAAATTTGAATTGATTTTCCCTGTGAATTTGCAAGTAATTACATTATTTAATCAGCCTGTGTGTTTTGCCTTTCTCCCTATGAGCACACTTTCATTACAGTGTCTACTTCGCTTTCCATAACTCTCCTCTTTATCTTTCTCTGCTGCGGAAGCTAATGGCTAAAAGACTAAAAGTAAAAATTGACCAATTAGCTCCAATATTTCCATCAGTTAGAGAACATTTAATAATTCCCAGAGCAAAACATATACTACTCTCATTGTAAAAGGTCAAATGGAGGAATTGATTAAATAGTGTCAGTATGTGGGATGTTTTTTTACTTTGATCTTATTTAAATGAAACATTTATTTTGACAAAGACAGACTTCAATATGACCTTGGAATACTACAATATTCAATTAAAACCAACAATATTATACATTATGCATTAGTAAACTCTATCTGGTTAGTGGCAGGGGAAACAGTACAGTAATACACTGCAGTACTAATTCTGTGCTAGTTAATATAGAGTAAGTGGAGTAATATGGATATGTGTATTTAAATGATATCTGCTTCCATATTTCTTTATCTAATATATTTTGGATGTATAACCTAACCCAACGTATTCTTACGTGGGTAGTTTTTTGAGTTTAGCCACATTTTATGACATACATTTTAAATCTCTATTATCAAGAACACAAATCCTCATAAGCTCAATTATGATGACATGTCATATGAAGGTTTTTTATAATTGCTCTATCTGGTATCGCTGCTATTATTGGACAACTGAAAGTGAAGAGAAATTGGCAAATATCCTTGCCAATCTTTCAAGGAAAAAAAAATGAAATTAATTATATTCAACTTGTGGCTACACCTGCATGTACACTGAAGAAAGGAAACAAACAAGCAAATAAAAAACATTCAAATTAGACTGATAAGTGTCTTTGTTATCCTGTAATTTGCTGCTGTGCGACAGTCAGACCATCACAGCATGGGTGTGTTGAGCCTTGCCGGCGGCAGTCATTCTTACAACGCGGCGGCAAAACCCACAGAGGCTCCAGAAGCCCCTCGCGTGAGACTGAGGGTAGCAGGGTTGCTATAGAAACCACTGAGCCCACCAGGAAGCCGAGATAATCAAAGATACCAGAGACAGAGACTGGTGATTCCACACGTGCACACACTGTACACACACAAACATACCACCATGTCAGTACGTGCGTGGTGTGTGTTTATGCAAAGAGTATGCATCTCTATCACACACAAACACACTCACACACACACAAACAATATTACAGAGTCTTAATGTGTCATGTTAACTAGTGATCCCTAGTCCTAAATATGGTGTTGCTGCCAGTCAGTAAGCCTCACTGAGGCTCACTCATTACCACAGTTCAAATCCCAATGCAAGCCTTTGATTTGATGATCTCCTCTGCTGCAGCATCCTAACTGCTGTATCTCTCCCACTCTCCCTCCTTCTGCAGCCTTTCTATCTTAAACACATATTAACTACCAGTTTATTTCCCTTTAACCCCCCTGCGCTGTCTGTCCTTATTAGCCTAATTTTCTCACAACACACCTTGGCCTTAGGTAATTAAAATATTATCATGGTGTGGTAAGATAGCTGTAGAGCACTATTATTTTTAGATCACATGAGCAAATGTAAAGCCTCACTTAAACTTACAACTCATTATATTGACTTGGTCCTAGTATGTAATTACAAATTCATGGTCTCAACCGATAACATGACTAAATGGGTCAAAAGGCAATTTAATTGGGCACCCCAGTAGCTCACCTGTTAAAGAAAAAAAATCTATAAAAAAAGGCAATTCAATACTAAAAGGCAAAGTTAGTGTTAAATTATGTCTGATTGGCGCAACTGACTACAAGCTCTTTACCCTTGTGTTACATCACTTGAACACAAGCTCTTGACTTGCGTACTCTAAATGAGAACAATGTGACAGGAACAGACCACAGTAGAACAGTTACGAGATAATTTAATTAGAGATGAAAATGGGCTTCAGGTAGCTCTTCACAAACAAACAACAAAGACTGCAACTGGAATTCATGCGACCTGATAGAGATTAAAAATGCCAGCGATTCATGCAATTATTTCAGGTGGAGAAGTTTTTTCTTTTATCAGTACTCACCGATGAGCTCCTTGTTCCTGATGTCCAGGGCCATGTTTCTGAGAGCGGTGGCCACGGCACACACCACCTTGTCGTTGTCTATCCTCAGTAACTCCACCAGGATGGGAAGGCCTTTCTCCTTACGCACAGCAGCCCGGATGTACACTGACCACTGGCAGGGACAGAGCAACGGGTAGAGTTAAAAAGCAAAAACTGGCCACAGTGGGGGAAATATACAGTTACGGTCCTACACACAGGATTTGAAATGAGTTGATGAGGAGTTTTGTGACAATTTGCAGCAAACAGTTAAGATTTAGAATAAAAAAATTTACTTATGTAGATAGGCACGTTTTGTTTACCTTACTATCACACTTTCACTGTCTTATTGTCACTATGCTGACAATACCAGAGACAGACTGCAAATAAAGTGGTTGTAATAGGAAAAAAGGAAAACAGACAGACAGAGCACAATGAGCGAGGTTGAGTGGGAAATGTTACATTCAGGGGCAACATGAGAGCGACTGAGGCATTACACTGACTCACAAGTGATATACTGTAAGAGGGAGAATTATATGAACCAGAAAGAAGGGTTTTGAGCTTGGAGACCACTCTATTCTCCCTCAACAACTATCAAGGTATGTTAAATGGACCACTCAACCCTAAATGGCTCAAGTGGTGCCGCCTTGTGGGTCAACTAGAGAAGACTGGGGCTGTGCTAACCGCACCCAAGAATAAATATAAGTGAAGTGGAAACCTAAAAGAATGTCAAAAAATAATTTACCTTTCCAGGGTATGTTAAGGTTAAACCACAAAATTGTTTTTCTAAGAAACCAAAATGGACAAAATATGGTTGCCTTAACCAAGAGCTTAGTGAACAAAGCGAAGAATGCGTCAGCAGTATGCCAACACCTTCTTTGGAAACTGTTAGCAGCACTATTCTCAAAGTCAGGAGAGGGAGCTTGCTTTAGAGGAGACACAGATAAGCACACACACACACACACACATGCAATAAGGATCCAAAATAGAAAATGTGATTTCCTGAAGACCACCTGCCCCCATCATTTCCTCCTTCTCCCTTGTCTTTCTTCCTCCTCTTCTGTCTCCTTCCTGCTCTGTTTCTATGTCCATTCCACCACTAATGGAAATACTCACAAAACCAAAATCAGATACACACCTCCCACACACATTCACAGGAGACATTCCTCTCAACCACATTGTGCTTCCCGTCGGCAACTTCTTCTTTTGTTCAAGTTTCACATGCAGCAAAGGTAACCATTTGACTGAGCATTTTTTTAATTCCATCAACAGTCACAGATTTACAATGAATATTGTCAGATGCAGTTCTATGATTCCAAGGTCATTCCAAGATTACGCCCTCACACTTTCTGCCTGTTACCCTTATATGCACCTCCCTGAAGGCAAAAGCTGCCCTCACCAACGCTCTCCAATATGGCTGTATGACTCATACATTATTACCATCTAGCTGCTTCCATCAGTCAGCTGCTGCTGAGCCCCAGCTCTAGTCCCTGGTGTGTTCAGGCTTGGAGCCTTTACATTATTACAGTTATTGCATTGCTACTGAACAATATTATATAGTATAGAACACATAAAATGGTTGTAAAATGGGATTCTGTTCAAAATGCAGTATTTCAAAGCCAGCAGGATGGTGTAGCGAGTAAATAGAACATTATTCCATCTGATTGTGTCTTTGAGGTATTTATTTTCTGTGCTGTGGCATTTACTGCAACCAAATCAGCCGCTTGAATTTTAATTAAACTGAGTTGAACTTTAACCAGATGATCAGGGTTAAAAAAAAGAAAGTTGTTTGCACACACCCAACCTGTCTTAGCAATGCTTATTGATATTAACCCCTTGTTAACATTTCAATGGATATTTGTCTGCTATGAAAATACATGTTTTTACTCAGCAAGGCCATTCTGATTCCAATTTACTATTTAAATGAGCATCCCTCAGTAGGAATCTATCATTACCACATTACTTAAACCAGCGCACACAGTTCTTTTTCTTACCTACAAAGTGAATAGTGTTTTATCTGAATACATATTTTCGTACACTGTGTGTCCCTGAATTCACTGCAGGGCTGAGTTAGGACAAACTTTCACACTAATGGACAATGAAATGCGTATAAAGAGAGCAAGAGCAGCCTAAGCTTCAATTATAGATCACCAGTCATATACTCTCAAAACACCAGTGTCTGAATGTGTGATTATACTCCTGGGATCCTACACTATATTTATGTGGTATTTATCATGTCTGATTTGATTTTAAAGGCCCAAGCCTACATTTTTGAAATAGACTGGATTCAGAAGATTTGAACTCCTTCAAATGTTGTTACTTCTTGGCCCAGCTTGGACTTAAAGCTGCTCCTGGCTAATGTCCAGGAATGGGAAATCAGAGACTGTTTTGCCAATATATTTACAGAGACCTGCTCCATCATCACCTCGGATCAGCACTCAACCAGCCGGTGTTCCAAGCAGACAGACCACAGGACGTGGGGAGGCAGACTCTGTGTTTACACCAAATATGCTCGGTGCTCAAACGCAGTCAAAATTGATGGACAATGTTTCTTTTTATGTGAAGTAAATTGTATTTATTAATTTAGTGCTTTATTTATATTTATTTTATGTATCCAAACTTATTTATCAGCTATGTTCTATGTGTGTGTGGCATGAGCGAACAAAAACTTTCTTTTCGGTCACCTTGATGACAAAATGTATTACCTTGTACGTTGTGACAAAGAAGCTTCAATTGAAGAAATAGGAAGGAAAAAAGTTGAAACCCAGCTGTTACCTTCCAGCTGCCAGCGGCCAGGTTCTGCAGAGCCCCAGCTGCTCCCTCCAGGGTGTCGGGATTAGAGCATTCAGATAGCAGGGTGAGGTAGGGCTTGACGATTGTGGGGTGCCACAGCATCTGAACCCCTTTGGGGGGCTCTGCCGTGTCTGGAAAGGGGCCAACACCATCCCACTGTGAAAGAGGAGAAACAATGGGACACATTTTTTATGTTAATGTATATTTAACAGCAAAGTGAGAAGCAGTGGTTCACTGGCTTTTCTGGCTGAAAGGTCCGGTAGTACATCTGTACATCATTGCAGCATGGTTAGAAGTTAAACCACTGGAGGCGAGCTCAAACAAGTTCAGCGGGTGTTAAGTTACACTAAACACACCCAGCAGAGAACACCGTTAATTAGTTTCCCTATTCTTCCCGTTTCCGTTTGGGAACTGAAATGATTCCATACCTGCAATATTCAGAATATCTGTGCATGAGTATTCTGTATATTCTCGTGTATCTGCGTTATGTCAGAATGACTGCATGCACATCTGAAAGCAAACTACATCTCGCTCGAGTACACCCTGACATATTAAAAAGTCACCGTGTAAATCGCCTTCTGTCAACCTGTTAAGTAGGAGAGAATGGTGATGGAGGGGAGAGGTGGGAAAGGGCAAAAGATAGAGAGAAAAGAGACGCATGTGAAAAGAGGCACTATGACAGAATGTTTCACTCCCACATTTGCTTCAAGAAATAAGCCTAAAGCTCGACACCTCTCTTCCCATTTACCCCCACCCTCCTCCTCTCCTCCACTACAATAGAGTCCCTTGATGTGTGAACCTCTTTGTTGAGTGACATGCCCACACCTTTTTCACGTAGGCATGAACCCACAACTCTCTCTCTTTCTCTCTCTCCTCCTATATTGCTATTTCTTTTTTCTGTTGCTCATAATATCTTGTCCCCCTTCTCTCTCCTGTTGATTCTTCATCTTCATCTCTCTCTTGATTTCTGTCTTCCTTTCTTTCTCTTGCTTGCCTCGCCCCTCTCCCTATTTTCTTATTCTATTTCCATCGTTCTCTCTCTAGTTCTCAGTTTTTCCTCTCCCTATCGACCTTCTCGGTTTCGCTCTACTGCTTCCCCTCCTCCCCTTGTCTCAAGGTAAACTAGGCTAGTGTGTGTCTTGAGAGAGGTACTGTGAATTGTGTGTATGTGTGTGTGTCTGCATGTTTTTATCTATACATAGATTCTCTAATCATAAAATCAAAGGCTTCTTATATTTTGAAGTATGCAGAGGCACTACAAGAGGCATCAACTTTTTTATAATAGAGTACTTTATGTTGCCAAGAGACTTCCTACATACTAAATATGTATGCATAATGTTATTTTTTTTCTTTATCTGGAAGAATAATTATATAAAACATTTTGAAATGTATCTGCTACAGTATAAGTGACAGTTTCATATTCAGCCTTCAAATTATATTGTTTAAAACAGGAATTTTGAATGTGAAATCTTTTAAACTAATATATCATTTTAGTTAAGAATTGTAAAACACTAAAGCTGCAACATTTACTGCAGCTTAAGCTCTACATTATCTGTTATAGATGATGATGTCCTGTTTGACAATGCCAGTGAAGTAATATATATTTACATTCAAGCTTTTTGGTCAAACAGCTGCATACCAAGTGTCAATGCCATGCTCTACAAAATGTAGTGTGAAATGTTTCAGATTTATAGACAATGTAATTTTATTAACATGTCACTGTGGTTTTTTCCGAAGTTGTATTGTTTGCTTCAACAATTTTCACTAAGCGGATGGACATCTTGAAATGAAGCAGAAATTTGTAGACTCTTTCTGATAGCAAAAGACCTGTGTGTGTGTGTGTTCCAGTAGTCCATTAGGAGTGTTTAGGTCCAGTTCAGGCCAGCGTGCTGCTCCTTGGCCTTGCTGTCTGAACCTAATAAATGATTAAGGGGACTACATTACAGTCTAACTGCCTGTGTCTCTCTCTCTCACTCAGTCTCCCTATCTGTCTCTCTCTCGTCCTCTCCCTCTTGCCTGGTCCCCTCCCTCTCGCTCTCTTCTCTTTCTCTCTCACTGACCTAGTCTCCTGGCTCCTACCCCCCTCTTTCAGTCACTCTGTGCCTGTCTCACTAACCTCCCCTAACTCTCATTTCATAATGAAAAGGGCAAAGTGTATACCTCTAGTGTACCTACTTGGTATATACCTTTAGTAACCTACTTGGTCCTGTCTGTATCCAGCTCTGCCTATCTTACTGTCTATCCCTGAATGTGTACCAAATATGAACACGTAAACAGTAAATGCAATCTAGAATAAGACAGGTTCTGACAAAGGGTTGGTCCTTTTGCTTTGGACTTTCAGGTTTGGTTATCAGTGCAAATGGTCAAGTAGATGCACAATGCCCAATGGGATGAGTGAAAGTGTAACCATCCCAATGTGCAAGATTGCATTAGCCTGGAGAGCCAATGGCCAATAATGAACAAAATAATGCATCTCAGATTTGATTTGGGTCTCAAATATCAGTCTGGTTAAGTCGGGTTCGGTGTTAATGATGCAAGTACGGGCTGTGTCCACCTCTACTTTAACAGCCTGTGAAAAGCATAAAAGAGTAGACAGCAGGGACGAGGGAGATGATGAAGCTTTTCATGATAAAAAAGTTAGGGTTAAAAAGTTTCAAATGTATTAAATGTGTTAAAAAGCAAAAAGGGTCTTATGAGCCAATACATTATAAAAGAAGCCAATGCTTTTCAAGTCAGCTTGCAGAATACTCTGTGATCTGTCATCCCTGTTTTCCATTATTTACCACATGTCCCTGTTGAAGGCATGGCTCCCTCAACCACTCACACACTGTTCCTACTTCATTATGAAAGCTGTCTACTTTTTGCACCCAGGTGTACATATACAGATGGGGGACAAATTTAAGTTAAAAGCAGAGTAAATAAGTAGAGAAACATAATGAATGAAGATGCTTACGCACAGGGCACAAAGAGTCACTGAATATTTTGAGTATGAAAGTGATGTAATTCATATGCTATGGGCTTTGCAGTCACCTAATCTCAACTCAGTTATACTCCAATGGAAGATCAGTGTGTTGGACAGCACTCTCCACCACCATCATCACCACCATATTTTTCATCCACAGCATCCATTCCATCCTTCTATTGATGATTTCCTTGTCCTCATCATCTCCTCCATCCTACATTATTTGTCCTTACCTGATCAGCTCCCTTCTTTTTCTTCTTCTTCTTGCCCCAGCATCCAGAGCTCTCTCCGTCACGGCCGTTGGCGTCACACAGCAGGCCGTCCAGCTCCTCCAACCCCCCCTGCTGGCCGTGGGACGTCTCGGCAGCCAAACGGTACGACAGGTTCCTCAGGATGCAAACGCAGTTCTCTACCGTCTAGATATCATGAGAGATGAAGTGAGGTAGTGAAGAAGACAGGGTGGGGAGAAGAAAGAGGAGATATAAATGAATAAAGTGAGAAAGTTGAGGTGGGAGATTTGTGTTTGATGCCATTTAAAGAAACATATCGTTTGAAAACACAGTGCAAACTCAAAGTCAAAGCATGCTAATAAAAACCGCCCACTCTCACACTTTTATTCTATCGCCCTTCCGCCCCCACCCATGAGCCAGACAGACGGAGAGAGTGAGAGACACAGAGAGAGAGACAGGAAAGAAGAAAGATAATCTCATAGGTAATATGCTTCTGGATTTTGTTAGCTCTGACTTTGAAATGAGATTAGAAGAAACTCAGGTAAATGAGGAAAAATGACAAGCCCAATATATTGTATCACACCCCATTAAACACCAAGTTTAGAGGCGAATCCCGCACACCGAGTGTGTGTGCATAGATGCTAGCAAACTAATCCTTACAGTGTATTCTGTTGCAGTGTGTGTACCTGCACGTGCATGTGTATGTTTAGTATCAGTGAGAAAGGGGAGCCATTGAGTCAACGGAGTGGAAATTAACGACAAAAAAAAAAGACAAATCATCCATCTTCTCTCTGTCTGACCGTTGGTTTACGCAAAAAACAACCAAGGAGTGTAATTGAACAGCCTCAAGAGATGCAACAAACAATACAATGTCTCACTTCAGTGGGCTGCAGTCATGTCTGAAATTCTATTCACATGCTATTATAGAATGAAGGAGAAATTACGATTTATTTACAATTTACCTTGACATTTAATATTTCGATCTGTTATTTCACATTTACTCAGTGCCCTGTTCTTTCCGGCTGCATGGTTAAGGGAAGAAAGAGACTCTTGACTTTGGTTTTTAAACAATTACGTGATGCTTAGAGTCTCCAGGGTGGTCAATGGCCGGGGTCAGTTACCGAACAGCAGCCATACAACAGAAGAATCTACAAAACAATAATAAAAATAATAAAAAGACCATTTCTGTAGTTGAAAGGTTTTGTCTGCATGACCTTGCGCTTCTTGCCACACCGGGCTTTAAGAATCTGCTCGTCCATAACTACATACATTAATGGACTTGCAGTAAACTTTTCCCTGCAGTGGCAATCACATTTAATGCAAGCTGTTAAACATCAACATCATGAAATCTATGAAATGTCAGCACTATATTGGTGTATGTATAATGATGTGCTTAGTCTATTAAATTACTGTGTCAGTTAAGTTAATTGGCTCTGCGTGCCAGTACATACTGTGAAACCTATTTAAATGTCTCTGAAACTTCCTCACATCCGTGCAATTCCTTGCAGCATAATAGCGGTAATCTGTAGACAGTGTTTAATGGGACAATTGACTATAAAACATAATTATACATCTCATATAATGAATCTGATCTTGTGCATTTCTGTTTGGATTTGTGAACATGAAAGGCGAAGAGGCGAGAGCTGAAACTGTCTTGGTGATCAAAAGTCTTGAGGAATCCTGAGAGGGATGGTGAGTGGATATTTTTTTGAGAGCACCTACCTGAAATGGTCTGGTACTCACCAGAACTTAAGCACTTCTGAATTTTGTCCACATGAGTACCCTTACTTCTTATTGAATAATGCCACCTCTGGCAAGCATGGCCGTACCCACCATTGCGAACGCAGGTATTTCCCAAGGGGTATACAATAAAAGTTGTAAAATAATTGCCTAAAAACAACTACTAGGTTTTTTTACATTCCCCCAAAGCCCATCAAGCAAGTTCAGTTTTTGGACACTAAACAACTGCGTTACTGTGTCTGTTCTGGCTTAACGTAAAGAAAAACAGCACAGAGTTAGAGTTATGTTGTGATTATAGGGTTAGGTTTGAGCTCAATTAGGGTACTGGCACCTTTTTTGGTCCAATGGAGAGCAGTGATGACAGAACTGATTATACAAGAATTTTGACATGTGAATAATGTTACTTCCTCAGCTTGTCTTTGTTAATAATCTATGCTTTTTAGTTTATAGACTGGTGTTAATACATTCTTAAAAAATAATCTGCACAAAGTATTGGTTAAGTGGAGCTACAAGATATGAATTACATGTTATTGACTCCTTGAAATCTATTTTCTCGTATTCCTAATGACAAACAACCTAAACAGGCAGATGAGTAGACAGTGTAAGGAGGAGATAGTCTGGGCAAAGCAGGTGTGCCAAAAAGAACAAGAAAAGGCAGACAGAAAATAAAATGAGCATGTGGCTAATGTGCATCACTATTTTCAACAGCGACCACTTGCTGGTTCACCTGCCAATCAGTCACTGTTACTGTGGCGACAGCAGCACTCCTCTGGTGACTGCAGTCAGACGGTGAAGAGGGGCGGGCTGTTAAACAGTGATTAAGGATGGCCATTTAGAGAAGCTGGGAGACAAGGAGACCTTGAGAAGTTAGCCATCCATGACACTGTTTATGTAGTATTGACTGGCCCACACATATTGTGGCATGAACACAAAACATGATCATGTCCTTACGTAGAAAAACGTTCTGCGCATAAACTCACTCAACTTTGACTACTGGCAGAGCTACATTGGCAGAAAGAAGTGCTGCAACCCTTTGAATTTAAGAGCTTTAATTTGGCCTAAATAAAACATGTTGATGAACTGCATGCTCCTTGAAAACTAAAATTATTCTTCCTCGTGGCTGTGAAAGGAGGTTCGCCCATTGTTGTTTTTCTTTCTTCTCACCTCCTGTGCAACGAGAAGACCAGTTCGTCTGTGTCTACCAGAGACTGAACGTTGCTCTCTTGCAGCCCAACTTCATGATTTAGTTTGAAAACACACAATTACTGTATGATACTCTTGCCTAGTGTGATTTTACTTACGAAGCACAACGGATGGAGATGGAAACACACACACACACACACACACCTTGCTGTCGATCTCGTTGCTGCCCAGAGAGGTCTGGATGACGTAAAGCAGAGCATCTGTCAGGCCGTCACACTCCCTCATCCTTCGCCTCGCCTCCTCACCTGCGGAGCTTACATTCCTGCAACACACACACACACACAAAGAATACTGGTCAGAGTATGTGTGTATGTGTCTGTGTTTGCCAAACAGACAGAGGAAAACAAATGGAGAAAGAGAGTTGGGGAAGAGGGAAGATAAGACAGGAAGACAGATGAAAGAAAAAAGGAAGCTGGTAACGAGAGGTGTGAAAAGACAGAGGCAAAGAGAGAGAGAGAGAG